AAAAAAATAAATATATATATATATATATATATATATATATATATATATATATATATATATATTCCATTGGGAGATTGCATTTACCAGGATATCCTTAATTTAAGACCATGTTGGGGGAAAAAAACCCTTCTGTTAGATATCTGGCCTACTTCCATCTTCCACTGTTTCCATCAGGGGTTTCAAGAAATCTTTCAGGAAGAGTTCAATCTTGATGGCTTAACAGTTAATCCTGGGTTCTGTAATTAGTTTTATTAATCTCTCTCTTTCAGACGGACAGGTTTGCCATGACTGCCAGACAGGAAACTATACAAATAACTGCTAACAGATGCAGTCTTGTATTGTGAATCTGTCAGCAGTCATCTTATCTTATATAGAATGATCTGTAAGGGCTTGCCCACAATCAGGGCATTTATTCTACCCAGACACAAACAATAATATCTTGATTACACACATGATCAAATTTACAAGATTCTTTTAAGGTTCAAATAAGAAAGTGTGCACATAACCCTTTCAGGTACTTTGAGTTTTATTATGTCTTATAAATAGTTGTAACATTGGTTTTGGATTTTGTTTCATGTTCATTGTTTTCTTGTCTTTTTAGTCTTCACCTGTTAAATGAGAATTTTTTTCCTCATTTAACAGGTGAAAAAAACCTTTAATAGACAAGGAAGAGTTGCATGTTTTCCCATCAGTACATATTCTTTAATGGAGGAAATTTCAAAGACAGTCTCTTCATATTGAGCGAGTCAGACACACTTGTTTAGTGTGTGTGTGTGTGTGTGTGTGTAAGATACATTAAATCCACGTGCTTAGAAGCAAGCTTTTCTCATCAACATGACAGAGCTGCACTGTAAAATTAGATTATGGGCAGGTATTTCTACCCAGTCCGACTCCTAAAAAATGCTTTTATTAGTTTAAATAAACAATCTGTTTGATTTAGTATTTACTATAAGACATGTGTCTTGAGTGAAACCATGAAGCACGTTTTTAGGTTATCAAAAAAACATTACAGTTGAGTAATTGCTTTAGGTGTGGGAGTTTTCTGCTTTTGGTGCCTGTAAGTGATGAAATGCAGGAAGTGTGCTTCAGATGTTCACCTGCACTGGAGCGTATTCTCGTAAACGGAGCGTAAACTTTTCAGGATAGCAGAGAGACATATAGTTGGTGTCATTGTCT